CACCTGTCCTTGCAAGGGGTTGCCAAGAGCTGGCCACACACAGAGATCAGAGCATACAAAGTCACTCCCATGGGAACACCCAGTCTCTGCACACGTTCCCACTGTGCGCCCCTCCCTGCCCTTCAGGGACTCTTCTGGCTCCAGGATTCAAAGCACTGAGCGGAGTGTTTGGCCCTCTCCCCTGCAGTCTTCTTATTTCTCAGAAGAACACACTGACTGTACCTGAGCTGTCATTCTAAGGGATAGAACGAGAGCTCTTGCACAAGAGCTTTGAAACCTACAGGGTTAAGGTTGCAGGCTGTGTTGAGTGGAGGCAGAGGAAGCCCTGGACGCCTGGCTTTTCCAAAGGAACACAGTGCTGCTCGGACACCGCGGTCAGTGAAGAGGGGCCCCTCGGCGTGGATCGCTCCGACCCGGGTTTAAATCCTGCCTCCACCATCCCTGCATTCCTGCGCGATTTTATGACTGAGCAGAATCCCTGACCTTTCAGAGCCGCGTTTACTCATCTGTGAAGTGGGGGGCTGCGGCCAACCCTTGTAAGGAATCAGAGTCCCTGGCCCATCCCTCCCCAAGGCGCCGGTGCCAGGCGTTTTGGCCTCTGTATCTCTGAAACAGGGAGGTCCCGGGGCATCCCGAGCGCCCCCGTGGCCATCTGTGCCACTGGCCAGCCCAGGGCCAGGACTGCTGTGCCGGCGTGGAGATTCCTGACCCTTTCCAAGGAGGTGCCAAGGGCGGAGCGCAGCGCAAGCCGGAGCCGCCGCGGCCCCTCCGAGCCTCTCGAGCCCGCTGCCGCCGCCCCCGCCCGCACAGCCGGCTTGGTTGCCAGGGTTGCCAGGGCTTGGGGCCTGGGAGGCGCAGCGCGCACGGCGCCGGCTTCTCGGGAGGAGCCCCAGGCCCGCGAGCGCAGGCGCCCCGCCTCTCCCCGGGCTTTGCGGGCCACCGGCTCGGCCCTGCGCGGCGGGATCTCGGGGCCGCACGGAGCGGGAGGCCGGGCGCCATGGCGAGGGCCCCGCAGCCCCGGCGCGGCCCCGCGGCGCCCGGGAACGCCCTGCGCGCCCTGCTGCGCTGCAACCTGCCCCCCGGCGCCCAGCGCGTGGTGGTCTCCGCGGTGCTGGCGCTCCTGGTCCTCATCAACGTCGTGCTGATCTTCCTGCTGGCCTTTCGCTGAGCGGCCGCGCAGGGCGCCGCGGGGGACCGCGCCGGGGTGAGTGGCGGGAGACGGCCGTCCAGCCGTTGCCACCCGCGGCCTCCGCACTGGTCGCAGAGGGGAGGCCTCCCTTCCACCCCATGTGCTCACTACCAGGGCCTGGTCCGGGGGTGTCGCCGAGCGGGTGCCCGAGGGGCGTGGTGGCACGTGTGTCACAGGGTCCTTCTGTCCTCTGTGCCTTGTCGGGGGGTGGGGGTTCCGCGGGGGAGGGGGAGGCCAAAATGGCGCGTCTCTGCGTGTAACCGAGGATGCGGGTTCAGCTGGGGCTCGCCGGCTGCTTGTCTGGAAACGGAGTGCATGTGACCAGTGGGTGAGCGACCCGCGCTTGCATCTTTGTGGGGTGATTCAGGTGTGTGGAAGACGCTGCGCATGTTACCTGCAGTTGTTTTTCCTGTTTTAGGCCTTAAAATACGTGGTGTCAGTCTCCCCACGGGCAGAGCCCCTGCTGCCCCCTTGCACGTGGGCCCTCTGAAGCCCCCACCCCTGCTGCACAGCCTGCGGGTGTTCACAGCCGCCCCCACCCTGCGCGTCTGGTAGGTGGGCAGGGTGGGGAGGGCAGTGGCGGTCACAGGGAGCAGCTGGAGGCAGAGCCTGGCAGCATTGCCCTTCTGGAGGCTGTCAGAACCTCAGAGGCACAGGAGGGCATCCCGCTCCCTGCCCTGGGCTGTTTTAGTCTCAAATGTGCGCCTCCATTGGGACCTTCCCCCGCAATAGAACATCCAGTTTCACAGCCCTGCTGTGTCTCAGAGTCAGTCTCTGCTTCCTGCAGGCAGAGAGGTAGCCTGGACTCCTTGCCCCTTGGGCCTGCCTGGCTCGTGTCTTGGCTCAGGTGCAGCGGTGCCTACCAGCACCAAAAAGGGCCTCTGCCCAGAAACGCGCCCAACCCAGCGCATCGGAGGTGGAGCATGACTCCGATGTCCTACAAAACTGTCTCTGACCTCACAGAGCCACATTTTGTCTTGGCGACAACACAGTTTACATTCCTCCTAACTCTAAATTAGAGAACCTCCCGAGTATGAGGCTATGCAGAAGCTCTGCCACCCGGTGCTGAGATCCTTACATTGGTGGGAGGCACAGGTGATGGGAGAGCTTGCTCAGGGCACGCTCCCTCTGCCAGGGTGCAACAAGGGCAATTAACACCTCCTCCTCTCCTGCCCAAGGCCTTCCAGGTGACTAGGCAGGACAGGTGTGGGGCTTGTCCCTAATGGTGCCTGGAAGCTGGTCTCTCTGTGAAGCCCTTCTCCTGCCCGACGCCTGGTGACCTTCCCTGGCAGCTATGTGGGAGGCCACCTATGCAGGATCCAGTTCCACCTGCAGGGACGGGCAGCATAAAGGAAAGGGGAATGGAGGCACCAGGCTTTTGCTCAGGGCTCATTTAAGGGAACCTAGGGACAGAGGGTGACACTTCACCTGGTTAATATCAGGCAGGAACCTCCTGAGAAGTGAAGCGATGGGAAAATGAGCTGTGTTGAGTGTGTCGGGTCACTTCCTCACAGCCTGTGTCACAGACTCCAGGTCAGGGCCATGTCACCTACGGCTCATGTTCTCACTGGCATCCCCAGGCCACCGTGTCTGCTTCCTTCTTTCCCTGGGGCCTCATCCTTCATGGCCTCAGCAGGGCGAGCCAGCTCCCCACCGTGGCAGGCAGGCTCCTACCATACGGTCACCTGAGCCCTCTGTCTCATCCCATCTGAGTGGCAGCGGCAGCTCATGATCTGGAGGCCACCCGCAGAAGGTCTTTGTGGCTGGGAATGAGAGCAGTGGCCCCCTGTGGAGGCCTGCTGCCCCCAGGAATAGCCCGGGGCTCTGTGCCTGGGACCCCGCGGGGGCCTCTGGAGGTCTGCAGCCCCCCCGGGGGCTGCCACACCGTCAGGGTTCCTGTGCTCACAGGCTCATGGATCACTCTGAGGAGAGCTTCCATCAGGATTGGAGCAGGTTTTGCCCCCAGGAAAGAGGAGGTTTGTCCTTCCCTGAACTTGCTTGCTCAGGAGCCCTGGAGGAAAGCACCATCCCAAGCAGGCTGTGGAGCTTCAGTGCTCCAGTGGCCAGCCCCAGCCCTCACCCTGCCCACTCAGGCACAGGCCTCTTAGCTGGAACACGGGACTGGCCCCACTCTTGGTTTCCATGTTGAGGTGAGGATTCACACAGTGCTTAGGGAGCACCCAGTGAAGTGAAGGGAGGGCTCCTGGGACAGGGGCAGCTCAGAGGAGGGCCTATTTGTGACATTCCCATCCTCGACCACCTAGCCAGGCCCACAGCTATGACAGCCAGTGCCAACACCTGGTTCCAGCAGGGAGGGGCGTGGACCTCACCTCCTGTGAGGCCCCAGCCCACTCCTCCTTTCCTGCCCTAAGGCCCTAGAAGTGCTCATCATTCAGGGAGCAGAAGCAGATCCCATGATAGGAGAAAGCAGGGGTCAGCCTCATGGCGTGCGAGGGCTGCCTGGGAGGGGCAGGGGAGCGCGGCTCCCACGTCTCAGTCCACACCACTCTGGAGCAAGGCACCATGCTGGTTATTTGAGCAGAGAGAAGCGTGTGAAGGATGGTCAGCTAGGTATAACGTGGTTGACTGGGCAACACTGCACAAGAGCAGTCCCGAAGTGCCTGTCACAGAGGTAGCAGCTGCAAAACGTTCCTACTTCTCCTGGAACCTGGGAAATAAAGGAAAGAGGTTGGAATAACTCAAACTTAGGATCCCAGGGCTTGGGACCTAGAGCTCTAAGAAGGGGCATTGGTCAGCTGGTGTTGGCATCTCTGGGGCTTGGGGTGGGAGCAGGGGTGCCATGAGGTTGGTTCTGTAAGTGTTGAAAAACAGCAAACAAGCTCCAGTCACTCCAATGGCAGGGCACTGTCTACCTGGATGAAGGGGCATTGTGGTTGGTGGCTGACCTCACAGGCAGTGCTCATCCGCAAGACGCCCACCTGGTTAATATCAGGCAGGAGGGTACCAACCCCCAGCCCCTCCCTCCTGCAGCCTTGCAGCCCAGCCCCTCCCTCCTGCAGCCTTGCAGCCCAGCCCCTCCCTCCTGCAGCCTTGCAACCCCCAGCCCCTCCCTCCTGCAGCCTTGCAGCCCCCAGGCCGTCCCTCCTGCAGCCTTGCAACTCTCAGCCCCTCCCTCCTGCAGCCTTGCAGCCCCCAGCTCCTCCCTCCTGCAGCCTTGCAGCCCCCAGCTCCTCCCTCCTGCAGCCTTGCAGCCCCCAGCCCTCCCTCCTGCAGCCTGCAGCCCCCAGCCTCCCTCCTGCAGCCCTCCTGCAGCCTTGCAGCCCAGCCCCTCCCTCCTGCAGCCTTGCAACCCTCAGCCCCTCCCTCCTGCAGCCTTGCAGCCCAGCCCCTCCCTCCTGCAGCCTTGCAGCCCCCAGCCCCTCCCTCCTGCAGCTTTGCAGGGCCCAGCCCCTCCCTCCTTGCAGCCCTCAGCCCCTCCCTCCTGCAGCCTTGCATCACCCAGCCCCTCCTTGTTGCAGCCCTCAGCCCCTCCCTCCTACAGCCTTGCAGCCCCCAGGAGTGCTGGGTTTGGGAATACTAATAGGGAGCAGTTGACAGTCCTAGCGACAGGATCAGATTCTGTGGTCAGTTCACTTCTGGCTCCATCACTGAGCCTTGATAATCTAGACATGCCCAGAACACAGCCCCTGCCCCAGGAAAGCCCTGCTCCTGTCAGAGGCAGCCTTGTCCGCTCCTCTGTAAAGGAGTCAGAATCCCCTCTTCCTAGGGCTGCTGAGGGAGTGGAGACAGAGAGCAGGGAGGCCCAGGCAGCCACCCCCACTGACCCGCCTGCCCGTGGCTCTCTCGGCAGCTCATCAGCGATGGCAGTGTGGTCTGCGCTGAAGCACTCTGGGACCATGTCACCATGGATGACCAGGAGCTGGGTTTCAAAGCTGGGGATGTCATCGAAGTGATGGATGCCACCAACAGAGAGTGGTGGTGGGGCCGGGTCGCCGACTGCGAGGGCTGGTTTCCAGCCAGCTTCGTTCGGGTATGGTTCCAGCCTGAGCTTCTCCCAAGTTGGGCCCATGAAAAGCTACCTGGTTCTGCAGAGAAATCCAAGCCCAAAACAGCTCTGGCATCCAAGGTGCAGAGCGCTCGCTGGGTGGTGGGTGTCGGGGCGCAGTGCCACAGCCTTCCTCTTCCTCAAGAGCCACTACTCCTGCTCCCTCCCCCCCTTCTGGTGAGCCCTGGGCGACCCGAGAGGAGAGCAGTTCAGAAATGAGTGTGTGCAGACACTAGGCACCCCTCTGCGATACCCCCACAACTCCAGGTGCTAGACATTTCCCAAGCCCTGACGAGCCCTGATGGAGGACTGCTCACCTCACACAGAGCCCCGGGAGTGGGAAGTTGAGGCACGGTAAAGTTATTAGCCCTGGAGATAGCAGAGAGGGGACCCGGATTCCATCTAAGGGGGTCTCCGGTCTTCAAGGAAGGAATCCAGGTGCAGTCTCCAAAAGGCCTGGCTGAGGGCATCCAAGCTGAGGGCCGTCCGGCGGGGAGGTCTCAGGCCCTGGTGTTCAGATGCTCCTCCTGCCCCAGACCCCCTGGGAAACTGTCCACTCGGCACCCCAAGCCTTTCCCCAGGTTACAGGTTAGACAGCCAGGGGGGCGCCACCCATCCCCCTGCCTGTGCCCATGGGGACTGGTTCAGGAACTGCAGCGAGCGCTCCAGCCTCTGTGCCGGGCACAAGCAGGGTCTAGGAAAGAGGCCAAAGCGGTGTTCGGATCACACTGACAGCGGCTGCGGGCGTCGGAGCCACCATCTCTGGTCCAGGACTTGAGTGGGTGGCTTGGTGGGGGGAGTTGGCCGGCCAGCCCCGCGCCCGGTGCACCCTGCGGGGCCTCCAAGACCCGGTTCTCGCCGCTGCGGCGCAGGGCGCGGGGCGCTGCTCCGAGGGATGCGGGGCACTGACCGGTCGCGCGTGGCCTGCAGCTGCGGGTGAACCAGGACGAGCCCGCGGACGACGAGGCCCCTCGGGCCAGGGACGGCGGGGCGGAGGACGGCGGGGCGGAGGCGCAGAGCAGCAAGGACCAGATGCGGACCAACGTCATCAACGAGATTCTCAGCACCGAGCGGGACTACATCAAGCACCTGCGCGACATCTGCGAGGTGAGGCCCGGCCGGCGGGTGGGGGCAGGGGCCGGTCGGGGGAGGTCGGGGCGGGTCTGGGGAGGCCTGACCGCGTGCGCCCGCAGGGCTACGTCCGCCAGTGCCGCAAGCGCGCAGACATGTTCAGCGAGGAGCAGCTGCGCACCATCTTCGGGAACATCGAGGACATCTACCGCTGCCAGAAGGCCTTCGTGAAGGCCCTGGAGCAGAGGTTCAACCGCGAAAGCCCGCACCTGAGCGAGCTGGGTGCCTGCTTCCTGGAGCATGTGAGTGCCCGTTACCAGCACGACCCCCGGCCCCTTCCCTGGGCGCTGCGCTCACAGAGGCTGCCGCGGGCCCCAGGTCCCAAAACCCATCACAACGCCTGGGCCCCAGCTCCAGCCCTCTATCTGCCTGGCCGCCTGCACCCTTCAAGACAGTTTTAGGAGGGTCTCTGCTTCTGGGTGGGGAAACCAAGTCAGGGAACGCTCCTGCTGGGAGCAGAGAGCTGGGGCGTCCCCCAGGAAGGACTTGCTTTGGCCGACAGGAGGGCAGAGGCCTGCTGAGCGCCGCAGGGGCTGTTCAGAGTGAGCTCTGGGGGTTTCTCACACAGAATTTACAGCTTGCTTAGGCGGCAGATGCCGGCCGGCCTTTACCAAGGTTCACTGGGCCGCTCTAAGTGGACACCTAGCCTCACCTGGTAGAGAAGGGCCTTGTTTGGGCCCTCTTGGGCAGTCGAGTGAGGGTGAGTAGAGGATGCCTGTCCCATCCCACCCCCCTACCACCGCCGCTTTTGGCATTGTTATCCCGTCCTTGGTATCATGGATTTCACCCAGAAGGCTGACGTGCAGCCGGGACACTTGCTCATATTCTCACCATTCCCACCCCTGGGTGTGACTCCATGTAACTTGTGCCCCAGGGACATAGGTACACCGAGCCTGGGTTCCCTCTAGCCCCCAGCCCAGCTCCTGAAGGAAATGTAGAGGCTCTTGCCCTTCCCAGACATGCGGCTGTATTGCCTGGGGGAGCAGCAGAGAGCTCTGCTAACATCCAGCTGTGCTCCTCAGCAAGCCGACTTCCAGATCTACTCGGAGTACTGCAATAACCACCCCAACGCCTGCGTGGAGCTCTCCCGGCTCACCAAGCTCAGCAAGTACGTGTACTTCTTCGAGGCCTGCCGGCTGCTGCAAAAGATGATTGACATCTCCCTGGATGGCTTCCTGCTGACTCCGGTGCAGAAGATCTGCAAGTACCCTCTGCAGCTGGCCGAGCTGCTCAAATACACGCACCCCCAGCACAGGTAGGAGGGCGCTGAGGCAGGGAGGCAGCCCACGCCTCTGCATGCCTCGTCAGCCAGTTTGAGCATTAGCTGTGCACTGCTGCAGGCTCTGGGGCAACCACAGAAAATTAGCCCTGTTCTGATGAGCTCCTTGCAATGAGGGAAGAGGATGCCAATAGGATATTAAGCTCTGCTCTGTGCCTGCCATTTATGGAGAAGAGAGGGGCTGTGCATCTGACAGTAGGATGTGGTCCTACACATGGGGGCTGCAGGGGTCCTCACCCTTTCTCTGCCTCCAGCCTGCAGCAGCCCTTCCATCTCTTGTTCTGCCCCAGGGACTTCAAGGACGTTGAAGCTGCCTTGCATGCCATGAAGAATGTGGCCCAGCTCATCAACGAGCGGAAGCGGAGACTTGAGAACATCGACAAGATTGCTCAGTGGCAGAGCTCCATAGAGGACTGGGAGGTGAGGCCCGGGGGTGCAGAAAATTCCAGGAGGTCTTGGCCCCTTGCTTTAAAGTCATGCTTGCCCCTGAAAAATCTACGAGAGAGCTGAAGCAGGGAGCTGCACTCCTGGGAGCTAGCAACAGGTGCCCATGGGGGGAAAGCCCATCCCAGCGTGGGCTCTGGACCTTCGGTGCTGCCTTCCCTAGCAGTCTCTGGCACCTGGTGGCCTCTTTTCTATGTGAAACTCCCCCCATGAGCAGCCAGCCAGCCCAGGAGAAGCCCTCAACAGAGGAAGGGTGTTCCTCAGAAGTGTTCTGTCCCTCTGCCTTCAGGGGACAGGCCAGATCCCTGCTTTAGTTCACTTCTGGGACTCCTAACAGAAGGCTGCAGGCCCAACACAGCGTGACCAAAAATGCATCGCCACCCATCAGAGCCTCCTGGTTCTGTTTGTCTGACTTGCACGTTTCCCCTTGCATCTGCCAATCTTGCCTTAGAACTAATGACGCTGTTCCTGTCCCCCTCCACCCACCCCCACTTGCATCTGCCAATCTGCCACCTCCTGATCTGTTCCCGAGGGCTTCCTACCCACATGGGTGCTGCCACCACCAGGCACCAGCTATCAGGGAGAGAAATGGCCTGGAAATCAATCAGTATCAGCCACAGAACATTATGAAAATACAGATTCCATGGCCCCACCCTGGACACAGTGAATCAGAAGCCCTGGGGCGGGGCTGAGCAATAGGGGCAGTCAGTTGTGAGGCCCAGCCCTGGCTCAGGGCCCTCCAGAGTCACTCATCCCAAACAGGCCACCGCCAACCACTCCCAGCAGGGGCTTCCATTTTCAAGGAGGAATGAGACCAGGGCAGGGCTTAGTCTAAAAGTATGAAGCCCAAGGGTGGATGATGGACCTTCGGGTACTCAATGCATTTAGCTGGGAAGGGGGCCTCCTTAAAGATCTCAAAGGCTGGCCTGAGAGGTGAATCGCAGACACCTCATTCTTCTCTAGGGCAGCACCGTCCAGTCAAACCAGCATGTGAGCCACCTACGGAATCGTATACTACAGAGTAGCCATCTTTAAAAGGGGAAAAAAAGAAACAAGTGAATTTAATTTTAATAAGGTTTCATTTATCTCCAAAATAGCATTTCAACTTGTAATCAACTAAAATATCATTAATGAAAGATTTTACAGTATTTCATATGAAGTCTTCAAAATCAATGTGTATCTTACACTGACACCACATCTAATGGATTAGCCACACTTCCAGTGCCCAAGAGCCAGAGGCCGCTGGTGACAGGGGGCTCCTATTTTGCCAGGACAGCCAACTCACAGGCCAGACGTGCCACCTCTTCCCCTCCCACCGTGGCCTGGCCAGGTGGGTGCTGCAGGCAAGACCAGGGGGAGGTGCCCCACCCATGATGGGGGCAGGAAGTGGAGCCCACGGTTGGGTATGCTAGGCTCATGGTTCTCCTTGGGATCTTCCCAGGGTGAAGATCTCTTGGTCAGGAGCTCAGAACTCATCTACTCGGGGGAGCTGACTCGAGTTACGCAGCCTCAAGCCAAGAGCCAGCAGAGAATGTTCTTTCTCTTTGACCACCAGCTCATCTACTGTAAGAAGGTACCAGAGCTGCTCTGCCTTGCTGCCCCAAGTTGAGCAGGTGGAGGGAGGGGAGCTGAGGGCTGGGAGCAGCTGCCCAGAAGACAGGTGGCAGCCAGACCATACACGTCCCCGTGTATGGGGACCCTTGGGGTCCAAGCCTGGCCAGACCTTTGGGGCTGGGATGGGGTGGCTCTCCACAGGTGAGCCTGGTGGCCCAGGAGCAGCAGGCAGCTTTCACAGTCTGACCAGGCCGAGTGCTGTTGAGACCATGGTCTTTCCTGACCTGGCCGCTGCTTGCTCCTCAAACTACCTCGTCTCTCCCTGCAAACCTCCGCATCCCCTCTCTCCAACCCCAGAGTCCCCTGCTCAAGCCACCTCCCAGTTTCCTCTACGCTGCTGGCTTCAAAACATGGCCCAGTGGCCTCGTGTCCATGAAGCCCTCCTTGTCCGTGGGTGCTCTTTCCTGCGTGTGGTGTGAGCCACTGTCTTAGTCTCCCCACTTCAAAGACAGGGCCAACCCCAGGGTGGTCAGTACCTGCGCACTCAAGGAGCAAGGCCTCTCCACTCATGGCTCAGCATGGCTGTGGGCTGCAGCAGGCCTGCTCTGCCCTCAGGATCTCACTATCTGCTGGGGAGGTGGAGGCGTCGCCAGCAGCCCCTCCTGTGGCTGGGGAGAGGAGGTGGGAGCGGCCATGAAATGGTCAGGGGAGCGGTTCAGCAGCCAGGGCTGAGGCCAGCATCTGGCAGGACCTGCTGCGCCGCGACGTGTTGTACTACAAGGGCCGGCTGGACATGGACGGCCTGGAGGTGGTGGACCTGGAGGACGGGAAGGACAGAGACCTCCATGTGAGCATCAAGAACGCCTTCCGGCTGCACTGTGGCGCCACAGGGGACAGCCACCTGCTGTGCACCAGGAAGCCCGAGCAGAAGCAGCGCTGGCTCAAGGCCTTTGCCAGGGAGAGGGAGCAGGTGCAGCTGGACCAGGAGACAGGTACGAGACCCTGCTGGGCCTTGTCCCGCCCCCAGGGCCCACCAGGCACTCCGGCCTGGCTGGCTGCCTGGGGGTCAGGACGGCGCCGCTCAGCCCTCTCAGGCTGCAAGCTGTAGTGAGGCTCCAGGCACCTCTAGGTCCCAGTCATCAGCATAAGGCTTTGCCTTCATCACCTCAAATGGCAGGGTTACCTGACCGTATCCCATGATACCGTTCCTCCGAGTTCGGCCCCAAGGCATGGGTCTACTGACTTTTGGGGAGCTGCTTCACTACACACGCTCACATGCGCACACACTCCATAGAACGGGGTCCTCTGCTCGGTGCCCTGGGTTGCTGGGACCTGGGGGACCCCTTTCCAGCCACCAAAAGCCTGGGAGAGCCTCGGAGTGGGCTGTGGGTACTGGCCTCAGAAGCCTCCCCTGCCCCTGCATGCAGACGTCTCCCCACTATAACTTCCCTCCTGTCCGCTGGCCCCCACGTTACCCGCCACAGTGATCAGGTCAGCTCTTGGTCTGGGAAGGAGCCTCCACTGCAGTGGAAAAAGACACTAGACACGGAGTGAAGGTGAGAGATGGGCAGGCATAGGAAGGACTCGGGGATCTTCGTTTTCTACCAGGGGCCCCAGGACAGGGCACCAGAGCATGCCCTCTGCCCTGGTTGGCCAAGGCAGGCTGACTGTGCAGAACGGGGAACAGTCCCTGCTGTGGCCAGTACTCAGTCCCCAGGACATGATGAGACCCCGGGCACCAGAGAACTGCACCTGGGGCCGGGAAGTGCAGTGCAAGGAGGACTAGGGCAGCGCCCTCACCTGTGCCCCTTCCTCAGGCTTCTCCATCACTGAACTGCAGAGGAAGCAGGCCATGCTGAATGCCAGCAAGCAGCAGGTCACAGGGAAGCCCAAAGGTAGGCGACCAGCAGCCCCACCTCCTCAGCTGCCCAGCCCTTGCCCTGCTCACATTCCCTTCTCTGACCCGCAAAGCCAAGCCAGCTAGCCACCAGGCCTGAGGGGGACCCCCTGCCCTTTGAAGCTGTTTGTTCCCAAAGGTTGGTAATCAGGGGCCACTGGGGAAGCTTGGGTCAGTATGTGGTTGACATTCTTACTCTCAACACCTTGGCTCCCCCAGATCAGGGCCATCGGTGACGACGCTTGTTTCCCCAGGGCTCCTTCCTGACAGGCATCGGGGTCAGGGTAGGGACGGAGCTGATCTCCCCATTTCCAGAGAGCCATGCCCCTGAAACATGACATGCCTTTGCACAGGCCACCCCTCTTCAGGCTGCTGCAGGAGGCCAGGCCCAGGCCAGAGGCCCCTGGCAGCCTGGGCTCTTGGATGTGGTCAGCTCCTGCCGTGTGGCAAAACTGCTCGGAAGCAGAGCCCTGGGACAGATCCCGTGCTGCCCCCAACAGCTGGGGTGGCACTCTGCCCCATGACTCTCTGCTGTCTCTCCCTGTTCAGCTGTTGGCCGGCCCTGCTACCTGACGCGCCAGAAGCACCCAGCCCTGCCCGGCAGCCGGCCCCAGCAGCAGGTCCTGGTGCTGGCGGAGCCCAGGCGGAAGCCATCTACCTTCTGGCACAGCATCAGCCGGCTGGCACCCTTCCGCAAGTGAAGTGGTCCCTGCCTGAAGGCACCTGCTGGGCCTTCCTGCCAGTGGCCCCCAGTTTTTCTTCCCCAAGGCCCACTCCGCCTGGCCTTCCTCTGCCTGGAAGTGAGCAGTGCTGGGCTGGGGAGTTGCTTGTACCACCAGGACGTGCCAGGTCTGTACTCCTGTTGTCTTTTTCCCTGTTGCTGGTGCCGTGAAGAGACCAGCGAGGGGGCAGACCCCGCACGTGCCACACCCCCTGCAGCTTGGGCCCCATCCGCCCTCTGGACCTGTGCAGGGCCTCACTGCGGGGAAACCGCAGCTCAGCCCAGGCCCAGCCGGGGAGAAGGCGCTACCTGCCTGGGACCCTCTTCTCTGGAAACCTAATCCTCCCTCATTTCCTCTGGGCAGGACTCTCTGGCCTTCTGTGGCCTGCAATGCCAGGCCATGTGCCCCCCTGCCCTCTAGTTCTCCTTCCAAGTCCCCAGCCCAACCAGTGGTGCCAGGCAGCTTGCCACTTGGGAGGGCAGGAACCAGGAATTCCACACCCTTGTGTCAGGCCCGGAGCCCGCCCTTCACCTCCCAGCCCCTCTAGACAGCGCTGGCTGCCGGATACCCTCTTCACTTGTGTGTGTGTGTAGTGGAAAGGACAAGACGGTGCAGTCGGCTGCAGACTCCCAGTCGGGAGTGTGGCCAGTCTGCCTGCTGCTGTGCGGTGGCTCCAGAACCACCTCATTCCTGGTTTTGTTTGGATTTTGTCATCTTGTTTTTCTAACAATGGAGAAAAAGAATTGATTCTTGTTAATGACACAGAAGATTGCCTTACCCTCGTGAGCGTGAGAAGCCATAAGAGACTGAATTCTGTGGCTCAGCACGCAGGACTGACCCACAGCCCAGGCAGCGGGTGTGTGGAGACGGGGCCCCGTCCTGCCAAGGGGCGCCAGGATCAGAGCCAGTACCTGGTGAGCGGGCGCGGAGCCCACAGGATTCAGCAGCATGGACAGTCACTCTTGCACTACTCCTTCTCCAAGCCAGAAACCACATTTAATTTCGTAAATAAATTTATGAAAAGTAACCTGGCTGCCAGCGCGTTTCCTGTGGGTGTGCGTGCATTCTCCTGTGGCTGCTAACCATCACTGCTAGCCTTTCCCTACAAAGGAGGAAGGAGCCCTGCAGCCTCTAAAGGTGGGGTGGGGGCTCACCTGTCGCAGATCACACCCTCAGGGCTTTAGTGGAGACAGGCTAAGGTGGGGCTGGCGGCAATGGGGAAGGAGGGCAGGGCCAGGCCATGCTGGTGGGGATACAGGTAGCTCTGCCCTCCCTCGCATCCAAGACCCAGAAACCACTGCTTCCCTGTGTTTGACTGGAGCTGGCCCATGTGAGTTCCTGGCTGAGTAGTTGGTCGTCCGAGGAAGAACACGTCTTCCCAGGAGGACCCTGGCCACAGAAGCCAGAGGGGAGCATGCCGCTGCTTCCCTCCCTGTCCCACTTGGGAAAATGGTCCCCGGCAACCTGCTGCCTCCACCACACTCTTCAGCACTGCCAAGGTCACGGGCTGGACGCCATGGTGGCCTTCTGAAAACCCCTGGCAATCTCCCAACTTGAGCGAAGCCCCAGCACCTCCCAGTCAGGTCATGCCACCTCTAGACAAAACCCACATGGAGAAATCATGAAAACCACAATATGCAACACAAGTCAATCTTTATTGAAAACTGCAGTATTAATACATAACAATTCTTGTTACAATAAACGTGCTTTTGAGATTTTTAAATCTGAGCTCATCTACTTATCAGATTGCATAAAAAATTAAAATAGTATCAATTGACACCTAATTGAACTGGCTCAGGATGGAAATTCCATTCCTTGGCATGGATACGTAAGTTCAATGCAGAAGTGAGGGATGCCTTTAACACTGGAAGACAATGCTGACTCAGCTTAAAAAAAAGTACCAAGAGAACGGTGTAAAAAATGGTATTAAAAAATCATTTAAAAAAAAACAAAAAGGAACCGTTTCTTCTTTAGTTACAATCCATGAGGCTCTCTAGGGACCTCTCCGTGTGGCCAGCACAGCAACCCTGCCAGGAACACAAACGACTGGCCCGACATCTGGCTCAGCTGCCTTGCCCACTGGTCTGCACAGGGACTCATGGGCACAGCCTGTGGTGAGGAGACACCTGTCATGCCAGTCCTGGGAGCACACCACCCGTCTGCAGGCCCGGGGTCCCGACACAGACGCCGCTCCTCCTCTGTCTCCCCTTCCCAAGTGACTTCACGTTAGTCCTGTGGACCAAAATAAGGCCATCCCTACAGGCTCTCTATTCTTCAAATAATGGGCAGTAGGAGAAAGACACAAACTCCGAAACGTGCAGTTTCCTAACCAAAAAGGCCACACACCCCCACTTCTGTGTTACTTGGTCAGTTGAGCCCCTGGCGCCCTCAGGACCTACTGATAGAGCATGTCCTCTGCAGTATACTCAAGAGTCTGCTGCCCTTCAGAAAGCCCAGAGGGAAGACTCACAAATGCACAGGTACTGGGGGGAAAAATATGTGCGTGCTCTGCCTTCCCCCAGGCCAACCACACTCTGCTTTAGAGACCCTCTCAGAAAGCACCAGAGAGGAGGACCAGACGCTGCCGCCCACCTCAAGCCACACCCCCGCCACCTGCTGCCGTGCCCACTGCAGGTCCTGTCCTGTCCAGGCAACAGCCAAACTGGTGACAATGGACATACCCAACAGTCAGCTGTGGGGTGAGGTGAAGGGGGCCCAGCTGCTCCGAGTAATACTGTTCTCAAATATTTAAAAAGGACAGGTGAAGTCAGGGTCTCCTTTTTTAAAGCAGACACCAATACTTACATAACTGGTACCTGTTGGCCTTTCACCAGCACTCACTGGTACTCACAGATGCCTTACAGACCTTATGGGGGCCAACACTGACAGGTATTAGTACACTGCAAGTTGCTGTAATAATGTATTTCCTCTGGTTACTGTCGTGTCCCCAAGACACGTGCAAATTATTTCCCAGACCTCATTCATCACAGTCAGATGATGCCACCAGAAGGAGCCCAGCTGGGGAAGGGCAGGACACTCACTGACCAGGCGCCCAGCCCAAGGCTCAGGACCACCCCTATCTCCTGTGAACACATTTGCATAGCACTCAAGAAAGTTTCCCGGAATAGTGACAGCTAGGCCTACAAACCACACCAAAAAGAACGTTCTTAACAGATGGCTCACGAGAGACATAAACGGTTCTGGAAGTGCCTTCATGCCCATTCCCACGACTGGCACTGACTCTGGCCCTCACAGAGCGGCAAGTTCATGGGTCACTGGCTCACACTAAATGCTCAGCCCCCAGCACAGATCCAAACAAGACTTCCATGAGTAGAGAAACTGCAGCAGCTAACAGACGATGGAACACACTCCCAAGCCTCAGCGGAGAAGGTGCAGAACAAATATTTTTTAAATAGCCATCATGATGTCCATGTTTACATGAATTAAGTCCTTTGCTTGCCTGTCTCAACTTCTAAAAGAACAGTAACTCAGCTGAAGGACTCCCAAATTAGGAATGTCAAACACACAAAAAGCAAATTTCTCAGAATGCTCCACCATATGTTTGGGGACAAATTATGCAGCTTTGTAACAGAATTTTGACCCAAGTTCTATTTCTTAATTAACTTTAATTTTACTAGAAGCAAATGTTGATAAAATTACAACCTATGACAGTTTTGTGACTATTCCCTAAGTCCAGATTCTTACCTGATATCTACCTTTTGTATTTGACAGCTGATGTCCTGATAGTTTCAAAGTCAGAAAAATTTCTGCACAGATGTGCAATGCAAACTTATTTCATAAAGCCTCTGAACTTCACAAAAGGGAAAAAAGGTTAAGTTATAGGGAGGAAGAAAAGTGTTGATGAAGCTGATGTAAATGGCGTATGTGTGTGGGGGATGCCGCCCACTCTTTAAAACACCATTTAATTCGGCGCTTGTAAAAACACTCATCCTGTGTGTGCCAAGTCCCAAGCAAGCCTGAAGAGATGCCTGTTAACTTCTACCCTCCTCCCGAACCCCAAGACTCCAGCCCTCACAGGAGCTGTGGGTGTATGTTTCAATTTTTGTTGTGTGGAGCTTTTTAAAAGCATACACTAAAATTGTGAGTATTTTATCCTAATCTATTAGCACTCAATTGGGAAAAAAGACTTCTCTGCTACTTGGTCAGCTGAACCCCTGGAACCCTTAGAACCTACTAATTCCGCCAACCGTCCACTAAACAGATGGAATTAGCAACAGAGACTTGAAGTAAGGGGCCCGAACCGCGTGCCTGCGGTGAGCATCTGCCCCCCACCACAGACACTAAGACGGAGTAAGCGCTCATGAAGCATTTGAAAGTACTTCTCGGTAAACATTCTATGTTCATAGACATCAGGAATCAAGAATCTGTTGTTTACAATGATCCATGCAAAAATATTCCTAAATTTCTTATAAAATAAGATGTGAAAAAGAAAAGTATGAGGAGTACTTACTATAAAAAATAAGGTTACCAAAGGCTCAGTGGTCAGGTGTCCCCCCCCCACCAACCAACTGGGGCAGAACGCTAGTGGGCATCCTCACTGGGCGCCAGTGCCCTGACCCAGCTACCAGCAAAATGGGAGGAGCAGAGCCCCCTCCCCACCAGAGCCCACAGCACTCAAAACACCACCTCACTGGGAAGACGATGCACGCTCCTGCCCCAGAAGCCACTGAAAGGGACCCAGGCCTTCCATCCCCCACCCCCACTCCGACCCTCCCCGAGGACAGACATGCGCTCTCATAGATACAGGGTGGGCATACTTTGGGGGCGGGGAGGGGGAAGACTCTTGATTTCTTATGTACAAGGTTCAGATTCTAAACTCCAATTCCTCTCCCACAATAAACCCTGCCAGCAGACGCACTCCAGCACCGCCTGGCCCTCTCTGCTGTCCGTGCCTGCTTCGTGCCAAGGGCCCTCAGCTGCAAAAGAGATGGCAGGAGCGGCTCGCAGACAACAGACACTGGCCCCCCCCTCACCCATCTCTAAGCATCCCCTCCAGCCCGCCTCAGCAGACCAGTCACCACCATCAGGTGGCTGATCCCAGCAGCAGCTACAGGTTTCTACATTTCCAGACATATCCACGGCCCTGCCTTTCTACAAGAAATTGGAGGAATTTTAAATAAAGTTTTGTTCCCTTTTAAGTCATTCTTAAATATACCACTTTCTTCATAACATACAGCTGAAACATTTGTCCTTCTTTGTAGGGGAAAAACAGCAATGCCTACCTGTTTTCAACTGATTCAAACATTTCTCCAGGGGGAAAAAAAATGGAATGATTTTCTAAGCTAAATAAAGCAGAGGACAATACCTCCTGCAAGCATGGCTGTTTCTCTTTCACATTTCTTCCATCCCAGGAAAATAATTTAGTTTTACATAGGACTTTTCCAATAAAGATATATAAAAACATCGTCTCTCTGTAAGAGAACTGTAATGAAAATTTAGATAGCAGAGAAACTGCTTTGCCGACACAAAAACCACCCCCCTTGCCCCAAATTGTACTGGCCACGCTACTATGATCTTTCACGGTGAGCTATAAGCACGTCCCTGTCCCACTGACTCCACCAAGCCTACACTCAAAGGGATGCCCATGAACCGGCTGCGCCCAAGCAGCTGTGGCTTCCCCACTGTCTCACAAACCTCGCAACTCCCTCAGTCAGTGCCAAAGAAACAGGTTGCTGAAAACTAAAATGTCCACATCCCTAACTGGCAACCCACATCAACCCCAAAAGGTTGAAGAATCATCTAAGATATTTCAGATGCTCTATGAAGAAATTCACTTTAACACTTATAACTTGAAGACTTTGCGAACATTACAACAGTGCATTAGTGATACAAGTTGTAAAATACGTTTCCATTCCTTTGGATTTTGCATATGATGGTTTTGCATCAGTCACTGCAGGTAGATTGAGCAAGCTTTTTGTGTTTGTTTTTTTAAACATGCATTCAACTAGATATGATTCAGAATAGATTAATACTCCCTTTTATCATTACAGTTAGCTAAAAAATTGCCAGGCAGTCCACAAAACAGAATTTGCTTTAAGACCAACCCACAGAGTCAGCTGGAGACTAACGGCGCTGGGGCCTGCTGGGCCGGGATATAGTCGTGTTTAGCTAAGTGTCGAGAGCATTAAGAAGAAAGTCCTGGTTGGAGGCGCAAGGCCTGCAGCACCAGCTGTGGAATCCCCAATAATGTGACTGCACAGCTCCGTCCTCAAACCTGCAGAAAGGAAGACAGATACTCAGTCACACAGAGCTCTTCCGGCAGTGCTACTCCAAACTCTCAAGTAGGACGAGGTCCACCACGGTCAGAAAGGGCAGCAATGGCCAAAACTGCTGGACCTGGTTCTCACTTCCTTCCTAGAGATCCCCAATTACAACTAGAGCCCTATTTCCTGCAGCAAGCAGGTGGGGGGGTCACAGCACATTCCAGGGAAGGCTCAAGACGGACACTGTCAACAGCAGGTCATCAATGGTTCCTTCTTTCTTCTACTCTGTAATGTCTCAATAAAAACAAAAAACTTAAACACTGCATTGCCTCTGGATCCAGGGTCAGGCACACTTTCCTCGTTAGTGCTTAAATATGTGGTAAATCTGCCACTGTCCCATGGAAATGCCCTTTCATCAAAGGCTGGCCCAGCCTTCACTGGTCACTTACATTTGCAGGTGATCACCACTGAGGGGGCACATAGCTGTAAGTGGGTGTTCCTGGGGCCCGGTATGTGGGCACAGTGACTGGGTGGGGGGCGACAGGAGTTGGGGAGTGAGCAGTCAGCAGGGTACCTGGAAGAAAGAGCAGCACATGACATGAGGCCGACCTCCTGCACAGCTCCACAGTGCCCAACACACACACAAGCCTGGACTCTTTGCAAGGAGGAGGGTATACAGGAAGAGGGATGGTCTTGACCCAGATACTGTCAGACTCTCATTAGATAATCTCCCACACCCAAAAATTGTCTCCACACAGCAAGCTTCCACAGACGATATGTTTGTAAAAGTCTTTTGTGTGTCCCCTTCATAAAGCACACCCAATAATTTTTATAGGTCAGATGATAAACAAATGAGTATAATTCAGCCTTAACAAGGAAGGAGATTCTGACACATACTACAATATAGGTGAACCTTAAGAACATAATTCTAAAAGAAAGAAGCCAGTCACTATAAGACAAATATTTTATGATTCCACTTAGATGAAATACCTAGTCAAATTCAGAGACAGAAAGAAAGGAGAATGGGGAGTTAGCATTTAATGAGTACCGGAGTTTCAGATTTGCAGGATAAAGAAGTTCTGGAGCTCTGTTTCACAACAATGTGAATATACTTAACACTACTGAACCGTACTTAAAAACGGTTAAGATGGGCTTGGCACAGGGCTCACATCTGTAATCCCAGTACTCTGGGAGGCTGGGGCGGGAGAACAGCTTAAGCTCAGGAGTTTGAGATGCGCCTGCGCAACATAGCGAGCTCCCAGCTCTACAAAAAAAGTTGTAAAATTAGCCAGGTGTGGTAGCACACTTACAGTCCCAGCTACTCAGGAGGCTAAGTTGGGAGGATGGCTTAAGCCCATGAGTTCCAGACTACAGTGCACTGCACTCAAGCCTGGGCAACAGGGCAAGACCCTGTCTCAACAACAACAAAAAAAAGTTAAGATGGTAAAAACAAATAAATAAAAAACAAGAGGCTGGGAACAGTGACTCATGCCTGTAAGCATAGCACTCTGGGAGGCCGAGGCGGGTGCATCACCTGAGGTCAGGAGTTCGAGACCAGCCTGGCCAACATGGTGAAATCCCATCTCTACCAAAAGTACAAAAAAAATTAGCCGGGCATGGTGGCGGGTGCCTGTAGTCCCAGCTACTGGGAAGGGTGAGGAGGGAGAATCACTTGAACCCAGGAGGCGGAGGTTGCAGCGAGCTGAGATCACACCATTGCACTCCATCCTGGCCAACAGGGTGAGACCCTGTCTTAAAGAAATATTATAAATAAATAAATAAATAAATAAAACAAGAAATGATAATTCTAAACTACATGAACTTCTGAGTTCTTTAAGAAAAATCTATTTTTCCTACAACTGCAGAAACTCAGCAACTACCTGAGTCCATTTATGGACCAGCAGCACCTCCAACACAGCGGCCTTCACTCACCTGGCCCACACCCAACCCGGTGCCCGCTGCCCTCCCTCCCTGCGCCTCAAACCAGCAGTTTCTGTCTACACCCAGTTTCCTGTTCCTTGACAGGTAAGTATGGGGAAAACCAAATCAGAGTCTAGGTTGAAGCACACATAATATCCCAGAATGCTTCTCTCTGGCATAATCTCCTTACACTGAAGTCAAGTCCACAAAAACAAGGAGGAAACAGTACGCTTTTGTGTGGGCATGACCTAAAGGTGGCCATATTGACCCACAGACCAGGAGGTGAATCCATATGGGTGGTCACCCAATCCCTAGACATCAGATCAAGCCCCCAGAGCTTCCACAGAGATGTGCCCATCCTAGACAGGAGCCTCATCTCTCCATGGTTTATTTTTCTTAGAGGAGGCCTTGGGAAGTAAAGTACAATAGATGAATGCCGAAGGATTTCTACAGGCAGCTGCTTCCTTCTATCAACAGAAGACCAGCTCTTCTAGATGCATGAAAACATCCCTATGAAGACAACTGACCTTCAAAGACAAGCTCCCCTCAAGGGAAAGGAAGAGGGCCAGCCACCCCGGGACACACAGTGTCCTCCCCTTCTGCTCAAGTCTTACATGGTCGTGGGGGTGGGAGGAGAGGGGGGCACATCCTGCATTGCCAAATGGCTCAGTTCACCAACAAAGTGAGCCCATCAGATTCAGAGAGGCCTCCACAAGAGGTCACTCAGGGAGGCAAAATAAAAGATAACCTGCTGTTTCTTCCCCAAAGAATTTTCTGTCCTTCCACACAACTATAGCTATGAAAACCCAGAGCCAAGGGTCAGAGGATTTGTGAGCTCTCCCCTGCCCCACCTCTAGGGGACACCACAAGGCAGACACCGCAGGAACAAGGACTTACCTGCTGACATGGCCATGGTGGTCCCAGCCACCATGCCCATGGTGACCCCGTTGCCTCTAGGAGGGGGGATGGGAGCAGGGTACACTGTTGCCGGCATGCCGTTGGGCTGCACCACCGTGGTGTGGTGGATGACATGAGGAGGTGCTGCATACAGTGGCTGTGTGTAGTACGTGCCTTGCTGTGGGGAGAAGAGAGACAACTGACACAGGGTCCCAGGGCCAAAGGATGAGTGCTCAGTTGGTATCAACCCTTCCCACACGACAGTGTCTACCCAAAGCATACCTGTGCGTACGGGCTCTGCTGCGGGTAGGCACTTCGCACGGGGTACACAGCAGTCTGGTAGGGGTTCGGGGAGGAGGAGTACGGCGGCACAGCCCCGCTGGTGGGGGAACAGGACACTTTGTAAGGTGTGCCAGGAGTGTAACCTGAAACAAACAAGGCAATGGCCTGAGTTCACCCAAGCCGGTCCAGGCACAGGGAGAGACACATGCAGGGAGGAGCCAAGTGGCGTGTCAGCCCCACGCACCTCGCCAGGCCTGCTGCCACTGCCGCCCCCACTCTCCTCCACTAAGTTCTGACTTCATTTCTCACTTTGTGTGCGTGTGTGCAGGCACGTGTGTGTGGCGGCAGGGTGTTGGGGAGGAGGAAAAAATACCAAAGGAGAACGTTCTACAGACGGAATGCTCACACAGGACAGGAAATAAAAACCGTCTTGTCCTGCTGGAATTAAAATTGGTATGGCCTTCCTGGTGCTAAATTTGGCATCCAAAGTATATATGCCTTTGAATCCCACAATTCCACTTCTAGAAGTCTGTGTGAAAGCAGTGCACGTGGGCCTGCACACACAGACACTTCACTGTAAGCTTGCTCATCATAGTGGTGTTTGTTACGGCAAAAACAGGAGATGCCTGCCCAACACCAGACAGGCTAAGCACTCTATGGTAAAAAGCCCTCTGGGTCGAGAAAAGGCTGAACACACATACTTGCTTTTGTCCCCACATAAAATGACATGAAAATGACGATAAAGCAGATTAAGAGAAAAAAGACATAAAACTCACCAAGAACGGAAGAGAAGACAGCATGCTGAAGCCTGGCAAGCTGAAGTGGAGGGTGACTGAGCAGACTCGAGAGGAAGGCACTCTTAGCCAACAGCGAGGAGCAGCTGGCACCAAGACAGCCCTTCCCCAAAGCCCTGCACGCTGCTGGCCACCAACCCACCTCCAGAAGCAGATAAACAGGCCCGACCTAGTAAAGTGATTCAGTTTGCTGAATAAGCAGTTAGGTGTCCCTTCCTGATCCCAACAGAGAAGAGGGGTTTGGTCTCAGGGAAGGGAGAGGGTCTCTGGACAGCTATGTTCACAGCAGCTATATTCACAATGATCAAAAGCTGGCAATGGCCCAAACGCCCACCAGAAGACAGATGGGTAAACACACGGTGGTGCATCCATACAAATCCTACTGAGCAAGCAAAGGGACAAACGGCTGATCCATACAAGCACATGGATGAATCGCAAAGCCACACCATGTCAAAGAAGCCAGATACAGGGACACATGCTGGATGCATGTACTGACAGAAGCTCTAGGAAAGATCAACCTAATCCACAGTCATCAAAACCCACAGTGCAGGAGCCAGAGGGGCAAGCGAGAACCTTTCCAAAAGAGTGCATTTACCCAAATGTGGTGGCGGCCACACAGCTGTGTATGACTGTCCAAACACACCAAACTGTACACTGAAAAGGATTAACTTGTACTATGTAAATCAAATGTCCATACAAGTGCTTATGGCATCTCACATTCCCATGGGTGAGAGCAGGAGGGGTGGAGCACTCACATGCTGCCCGTGTCAGACAGCACCTTCGCATGCCAGGCACACGTCCCCCAACATCCAGCAATCCACTCCCAAATATTTCCCCCAGAAAAATGAAAACACAGGTCCACAAAAGACTCGCAAAAAGTGTTCAGTCTTGGGTGAGAGCAGGAGGGGTGGAACACTCACACGCTGCCCGTGTCAGACAGCACCTTCGCAAGCCAGGCACACGTCCCCCAACATCCAGCAATCCACTCCCAAATATTTCCCCCAGAAAAATGAAAACACAGGTCCACAACAGACTTGCAAAAAGTGTTCAGTCTTATTCCTAATAGCCAAAAATGGGAAATAATCCAAATCTTCAACTGGAGAAAGGGTAAATCATGATATATCTCTATCAACATTACTCAGCGATCAAAAGGAAAAAACATGGATGAATCTCACACCATGCTGAGCTTTCCAAAGAAGCCAGAAACAGAACGGCACATATAGCAACGATCCCATTTATTCCCTAACGACAAAGAAACTTACCTACAGTGACGGAAATCAGAGAGGGGAGAGGGCGAAGAAAGCCTTCTCGGATGATCAAAGTGTTCCATGTTTTATTTGGAGTGGTGGTTCCATGGGCATGTACAACTGTCAAAACCCACCCAGTTGAGCACTTAATGTGTGGGTGTTTTGTGCATAAATTATACTCAAGTTTTAAGAAATGAGCTGAGTATAAAGAATTTGGGATCACCTGAGCCGGAGGTCAAGGCTGCAGTGAGCTGTAATTATGCCACTGCATTCTGCCTGGGTGACAAAGTAAGACCCTGTCTCAAAACAATAATAGTAATAATAAAAGTTAATTTTTAAAACATTTTACACAATTGGGCTGTGTTTAGCAATATGTACGTGTGTTTGTTTTTTATTTTTTTGAGATGGAGTCTTGCTCTATTCCCTAGGCTGGAGTGTAGTGGTGCAATCTCAGCTCACTGCAGCCTCTGCCTCCTGGGTTCAAGCAATTCTCATGCCCCAGCCACCCGAGTAGCTGGAACTGCAGGCATGTGCCACCACACCCAGCTAATTTTTGTAATTTTTAGTAGAGACGGGATTTTGCCATGTTGGCCAGGATACTCTCGAACTCCTGGCCTCAAATGATCCTCCTGCCTCAGCCTCCCAAAGTACTACGATTTCAGGTGTGAGCCTGTATATATATGTAGCTGGTCTGTATATTTTGTTTTAATTTGAAAGGGAAAGAGAATGACTGCCCCCCTAGGAAATTCACCAGTCTGGGGTTTTCGTTTCAGGTGCCAGAGAAATTCTGTGACATGGATATATTGCACAGTGGGGAAGTCTGGGCTTTTCCACCTAAATACTGCATACTGTATCAATTAAGTAACATGAAGGCCTCAACGTCAGCCTTCTCAGACTCCCCTGCAGGCCCTTCCAGGTCTCACAGTGGGAGGTGCTGCGGCTGAGACCTGCAGCAGGACAAGCAATAGGTGGTCCCGTCCTGCACAGCAAGTGGGTGCTCACACCCACATCTGTCTGTATCCAGAGTCCTGACCCTTCGACCCAAATCAGGCAACTCCCAACCTCAGCTAGTCTCCATCTGAGGAAAGAAAAGATTCCTCCAGGGCTTCCTATATTTTGAAATTCACTCACTGCTATGTTAACCGTAAACAGAAACACTGCCAAAATTTGAATACAACAACTTTTAATACTGGTGCTCAGCCAAAGGAAAGCAGAATACACAGACTTTCCATCAGGATTTGGAAAAGCAAACTTTCAAGACAAGAGCAGCTACAGAGTTCCCTTCTCTGGCTGCTCATCTCCTGGTCTTTAAGAAGGCTAAAACAGGAAAGTGAAAAGGAAAGCTTCACGGGTGTATACATGTTAGAACTCATCAAACTGAAGCTTTAAATCTGTATGCTTAGTTGTATGTCAATTACACCACAACGAGGTTGTATAACATTTTCTTTAATTAAAAAGAAAAAGGTAGTGTGAACGCCATCAAAGAATTATAAAGGAAAAGGCAGTGTTTGTCTAGCCATGTACTGATACTCCCAGGAAGAGACCTGGGACAGTCCAATTCCCCCTAAGTCACTAGCTAACTCAGGGAAGGAATGGAAAAAGGAAGCATGGTGTGTGGCGGGCACACATGTGACTAGTCATGGTGACTGAGGCATTACACCATCACAGAGAGGCTATTCACCATCAACATGGGGTCATGCCCTGTCACAGCGGAGATGATCAGGACAGATCCAGCCCTCCCCATAAGGTGCCTGGCCTCGGGGGGGAAAAAAATCACAGGAAAACCAACCACCAACATAGCAACATTTTATGCAGTCTTGGCAAGCAATGAGGAGTCAGCTCAGAGAGGGGCGGGTGGGGCAAGGCTGTCTCAAATGAAAGAACTGTGGGGATGGAGGAGGTCAAGGGTCATCCTGGATGGCTCCCTTCCCCCCAGCCACACCACCTCCTTCATTTCCCACTGCCATGCAGCAGCCAGACACCAGCAGGTACCTTCAGCTGTACCCAAAGGAGGACACTGCCGAATGGGATCCCTGCTGTCCAGCTTAATCCCAGTTTCTGCCTCGTATTTCCACTAGCCTGAAAAGACATCCTCCTAGAAGTCAACAAACTCTTATCTGACCAAGATGATAATTTTTTATAAAAGTGTCAAAACACAGAGCAACCCTCTGTGTGTCACATCCTGAGAACTGATGCTAGACTTCCAAGTTGGGAATCTCATTCCAAACTTCCGACCGTTTAAACGAACAAACCCACAAGGTTCCCTTTCTTCATACAATTAAAAATATTCATGACAGATAACTGGAAATATGAACACTGTTTACAATCTTGGTAGTAATAAAAAAAATATTTTTTAGGTGTGACAATGACACAGTTCTTATTATCCTTCAAAGATAATATTTAAAAAGCTGACGAACATAGTATCTGAGATTTGATTCAAAATAATATAAAGGAAAGTGGCAGGGGCCCAGATGAAAAAGATCAGCCAAAAGCTGATAACTGCTAAAGCCAGGCGATGTGTAGGTGGGAATTATATTCCCATATACTTGTGCTAAAGCCAGGTGATGTGTGAGCAGGAATTTTTTTTTTTTTTGGATGGAGTCTCGCTCTTGTTGCCCAGGCTGGAGTGCAGTGGCATGATCTTGGCTCGCTGCAACCTCCGCCTCCTGGGTTTACGAGATTCTTCTGCCTCAGCCTCTCAAGTAGCTGGGACTACAGGTGTGCACCACCACACCTGGTTAATTTTTGTATTTTTAGTAGAGATGGGGTTTCACCATATTGGAAAGGCTGGTGTCGAACTCCCAACCTCGTGATCTGCCTGCCTCAGCCTCTCAAAGTGCTGGGATTACAAACGTGAGCCACCACGCCTGGCTGTGAGTGGGAATTAGCATATTCCCATGTACTTGTGCTAAAGACAGGCAACGTGTGAGTGGGAATTATGTTCCCATGTATTTCTGTAAATACTTGAAATGTTTCCTAATTACTCTTTTGAAGTCAAAGTATTAAATAATATAAGGAAGACTGTTATGGATTGAAAGAAATGAGACATAAATTCAACTTTATAAAAAATTCACTATGTAATGTTGAGTACATTCTGATTCC